AATTAAAAGAAGTCCCAAGGCTTGGCTAGTTTATGTTTTGATGTACTTGAGCTTAAAGTGAACTCTATGAATTTTGTCTTCCTTAAAAACTTTCACAAGTGTAGTTTTTTAAAAATAGTATTATGAACAACCAGAACAAATTTTGATTTTTTTAAAAAGATGACCATCAGGATTCTTGGTTTCCTTTCTGTAGAAGTTGTAAAATAACCTTAAATAAAATTTAGCTCTTTTAGGTTATCTAAAATAAACATAACTGGGAGTTTTGTTTAATAATAAAACTAAGTTGGAAGCTGACAGGCTGTAAGATTAGAGGAAATATAAGGGTGCTAGCATTTGCATTTTTATACCAGGAAGTCCATTTGAAACCTGAGGTTTTACAGTACAATGACTTAACTGCTCAGCTCTTTCCTTTGTCTTTTGTTCATAGTCTGGGAGGGGGGCTCTTTTACAAAACAAAATCTCTTGAATTGAAATCAAATATACTTTGACATGTGTTTTCATTTATGTTTAGCTCTATGTACTCTTAATTTCCTTTGACAGTTCCTCTTTTTAATTTTTTTTTTTTTTTTTTGGTATCAGGGATCCAACTCAAGACCCTGCGCTTGCAAGGCAGGCACGGCACCACTGAGCTAAATCCCTGGCCCGACACTTCCTCTTAACTCACAAATTATTTCGAAGTGTGTTGCTTAGTTTTTAAATGTTTTGAGAGTTTCCTGTTGTCTTTGTAAGAAGTCTCCAGTTGCTTCCATTTTGGTCAGAGCACACAATATGATTTCAGTTCTTTTACTTTCTTCAAGTTTTATTTTTCTGTTTTATTTTTCTATTTGGTCAGTGTTCTGTGAGCAATCAAGAAACATGTATTCTGTTGGTGTTGGGTCTTGTTTTTTATATGTTAATTAGATCTGTTGATTGACTGCATTGTTCAGATCTTCTATTTGTAAATTTCTGCCTCATAGCTCTATCAGTCAAGGGTGAAAGTGAAGGTGAAAGTGAAATTCCCAACAGTAATTATACATTCTTCTCTTTCTCATGGTGTTGTGCTAGATGGTGTATAGAGGGCCCATGATGCAGGCAATAAAAGAACTTACTAATAGAAAAGAATACAGAGAAGACAGGAGTTTATATACATCACTGAGTATACTGTCAAGGACAGCAGGCAAGTTTCCAAGAGAGGAATCACATAGTCAGGGTGAGAAACTGTAAGGGAATGAAGATGTGGGAAAGAGTCTGAGCTGGTAAATGTCGGTATCTTAGAAATGCATTTTCTAGAGCATCCTGTTCTTTGTGGATTTTCCAACCCCTGTATCATGACTAAAGCTGTACATCAAAGTTGAAAATTGTCAAGCCCTCTTGCTTAGATCTCACAAAAGGCTTTTTAGATTTAGATAAAGGTATTTGTATGTTTTGACTGTTTGGGGAGAGAGAAAATGTTAGCTCAGGAGAGAATTTACTTCTATCTTGTATTTATTTTTATTTTTATCTTGTACTGTTTTCAGTCCTCATTAATGCAGTGCTTCATGACTGTCGGGTACATGCTGAGCAAAGCGTGTTATCAAAGAAGATTGGGTGCTGAAAATCTTAACTCTTTAGTTACCATGTACTTCTTTAGTTACAGTGGTTCAGATTTTCCTTCTGGTTTTCACTTTATGTATTTGAGGCTCTGTAGCTTAAGATTGTACACATTTAGTATATTATGTTTGCTGGGTGAATTGATCCTTTTATAATTATATATCATCTCTGTGTCTCTGGGCCTTTGTTTTGAAATCTACTTTACTGAACATTACTATGGCTACTTCTGCTTTTAAAAATTGTTTTTAATATTTACATGGCATATCTTTTTCCACCTTTTTACTTTCAACTTACCTGGATTTGAATTTGGAGTTTCTTCTAGGTACTATATACATTTTTAAAAAAAAATCCACTCTTTGAATCTCTGTCTTTTGACTATTATATTTAAAGCAATATATATATATATATGTGTGTGTGTGTGTGTGTGCGTGTGTGTGTGTATATATATATGTTTTGGGGGGGGGTTGTACTGGGGATCGAACTCAGGACCTTGTGCTTGTGAGGCAGCCAGCAGCACCACTGAGCTAAATCCCTGGCCCTAAAGCATTTATATTTAAGATACTTATTGATTTGTTAGCATTTTATTCTATTTAATTATTTTTTCTATTTGTTTTCTTTTTTATCTTTTTTCTCTTTCTTGCCTTACTGCACTTATTTGAATATGCTTTAGGATTCCATCTTGATTTGTTTATAGAACTTTTGGGTTTGTCTATATAAAAAATAGTGGGCCAGGGATGTAGCTCAGCTGCACTGCACCTGCCTGAGAAGCACAAGGTCCTGAGTTCAATTCCCGGTACCAAAAAAAAAAAGAAAAAATAAAGAAAAGTAGTGGTCTGGGTCCTTCAAACACTATTTATAACAAGGTACTGGTATCAAAATTTAGCACTTTGAATGAAGTGTGGAAAACTCACTTCCATTTAAGTTTCTTTGGCTTCTCCATCTTTAAATATCATCGTTTGAGTATCAGATAGCATTAACTTTTTTGTTTCAATCATCAAATATAATTTATAAAATTCATAAGGAAAAGATAGTATGGACCCATATTTCTGCTTTTTTTGGTCTCTTCTTTCATCTACATTTCCTCCTTTTATCTTTTGCTTTCTGTTTGAAGAACTTCTTTTAGACAGTATTTTAAGGGTAGGTCTGTTGGTTACAAAATCTTCTTTTCATTTGTGAATTTTTTAAATCATCACTTCCTTCTTGAAAAGTAGTTTTAGAAGACATTATAGCTGACAGTCTATAGAATTATAGACTGACAGTTCTTTTCTTTCGGCACTTAAAAATATTTAGCTATTTCCTTATACAGTTTGTGGTTTTATATGAGAAATTCATTCAAATGGAAGTTCCCCTATAGGTGATGCACTATTTCTTTCTACATGCTTTAAGGAGTTTTTCTTTCGTTTTCAAAAATTTAATTATGATATGTCTTGGCATAGATTTCTGAGTTTATCCTTGGGATAAACTTGGGATAATGCTTGGGATTTACTAGCTTTTGAAATCCTTGGGTTGGAATATTTAGTCAAATTTGGGAACTTTCCAGCCATTATTTCTTCAAATACTCATCTCATCTCCACTCTCTTTTTCCTTTATTTTTTGGGCTTTCAATGGTATGAATGTTGAATATCTTGTTATTACCACATAGATCCCTGAGGCTCTGTTTTATTTTTTGTATATTTTATTTTAGTCTAATTGCTATTGTTTTACTCTCAAGGTTACAATTTCTGTCCTCTATCATCTCTACCATTAAGCCTATCCCACCAGTTTTCAATTTATTTTTCAGTTCTGTAATTTTCATTTCTTTCTCTCAGATAAAACTTCTCAGAGATTTTCTGTTTTTTCATTTGTTTCAAGAAAATTTGTAATTGATTTCTGTAGCATTTTTATGTTTGCTTTAAAATTCTTTGTTTTTTGGTACTGGGGATCGAACTCGGGTCCTTGCACTTGTAAGGCAGGCAGCGGAACCACTGAGCTAAATCCCCGGCCCTGCTTTAAAATTCTTGATAATTTCAGCATCACATTCATCTCAGTGTTGGCATCAATTGATTTCTTTTTTCATTCAAGTTATGATTTTCTAGATTTTCAGTTTATATTCTGGGTATTTTTTAGTATGTTAGGAGACTCTGGGTCACATTTAAATATTTTACTGTTTGGATTTAGCATACAGGCATTTGCCTACTGTCCAATGGCAGTTTAATTTTGAAAGTCCTTGTAATGGTATTTTGGTCTGCTTGGTATATCTTGTGCTGTCTGGGCTCCCAGTGGTCTCAGGTGCCACCTGAGGGAATGGGAAAAATTTCCTCTGTCTGGGTAGTTATATCTTTTGCTGAAGGGGGACTCCTCCTGCTGCTGCCCTCCAGTTGCTCAGGTTTCTCTGGTCCAGGGAGTATAATCTTGGTTACATAATACGACTTTGAGGAACACACTGCTAGCTGCAGGGCTGCTTGCTGTGGCAGGTTGCCCCTTTTCCGCCAGTCAGCAATATTGACTCTGGGTAGGGGAAGAGAGTCTCAGGCTTTTGGAAACAATGAGGCTTCCCCAAATGAGCCACTTGCTTTACTCAGATCTCTCTTAACTGGTTCCTCTTGCTCACCTTAGTATCCGTCCTCAGAAGAGGAATTCTTTGCCCAGGAGAGGAGAGGTCTTCCTCTAGTTGCTTATATTTGGCAGGGCTCACAACTGGCCCCTCACATGAGGTTTCCAGAGTGACTCCATAAGATCCAGGTTGAGCTACTGGGCCTTCTGTTGACTGGGGTGTATGTGTGCAAGTTTCCCTGCCTCTCTGTTGTTCTTTTAGTCCTAAGCTCTCAAGACAGCTCATTCTTAGTACCCTTCCGAATGTTTTTGGATTTTTCTTGGGCCATTTCTAAGATTTATAAAGTTATACGTAACAGGAAAAAACAGGGAAAAATGGGACTCTCTTTTCTAGACCAGAAGTCCCATGCTCACTGAATTTTATGACATTATCTATTAAAATTTCTTCCCCTCCATTTTGCTAATTTAAGCCCAGTTACATATGAATATTTAAAATTCTAAAGAAACCTTTATTTTCTCCACATGTAGTTATGAAATTAGGGGGGAAAATGAATGTGTTGATACAATGGGCTCTCAATTAAGCTTAAGACCATACATATATGAATACTCAGTTGCACCTCTGCTTGGCCAGCCTCCTTCCAGTCTGCTCAGAGAAGGCCTCTACATGAAGCATAGAAATAGAAAATGGGAGGAGCTTTATGATCTACGCTAGGGAAAGCACAGCCCTTTCCTCCTGGGACTCTGAGTACTTGCCTGAATGCTTTGGCTTGGGAAATTTTAAACCTGAAAGGCCAGGAGAATGGAAGTTCTAGAACTACCTAGGTTGGCCTGGATCTTCTTTGAACTTGAGGGGAAAAAGGTTTAAACCAATCAAGTGCACCAAAGTAGAAAATCAGATATTCATTTGGGGCAGTATCAGCCCAGTATATTTATTTTTTCTTATTTATTTACACTGTCCATATACTCCCAAGAAGCACATAAGGTGATACTAATGGCTACATTAGAAGAAAATATAAATTAGATGTAGGGGAAAATGAGCAAGAAGAAAACAAGACACAGGAATAAGGTTGGTACAAAAATCCTTCCCTGATTCCCTTACAGTAAACAGCCTGTGAAAGAGGACAAAAATATAGAATTTCCATGCCATCTCAGACTGGAAACTCAAGAGTCTCAGGACTGGGAATGGGAGCAATGACTCCTAACATATAAAGATCCCCAAGATACTCAATGGAGGCAGACAAGTTTCCATGGGGGTTTCCCTAATACTTCATAGGTTTCCTGTTCCTGAAACATATTTGACTTCTTAGATTCCTGCTATGGTTTAGATCAAGAATGTCCCCCAAAAGGCTCATGTTCAGAGGTTGCGCTTTTGGAAGGTGATGAGGGTCTCTAACCTCATTAGGCTAATGTGCTGATGAGCTCATAACTGAACTGCTATTAGGAGATAAAGCCAGGCCAGAGGAAGTAGGTCTCTGGAGACTTAAACTAGAAGGTACATTCTTGTGTCCAGCCTCTCTCCTCTCTGGCTCTGTTCTCTCATTCTGCTTCCTGCTTGCCATGAGGTAGGCAGCTTTCCTCTGCTGTGCTCTTCCACCTTGATGTTTCTGCCATGGAGCCAGCTGAGCATGGACCAAAAACTCTGAAACCATGAACCAAAATAAGTCTTTTTTTCTCAAGTTGTATACACAAGGTATTTTGTTCCAGCAACAGAAAGCTGACCAATACAATTCCTGAGTTCTCATTTTGCAAATGACACGCCCAACTACTGTGACCTACTTGGAGACTCATGCTGCTAAGTTCCTGAGGGATCACATCCCAGTTAGGCTCCATTACACATCAGGGACTATATAAATAATCAGAGGGTGAACCAAGGCTAAGGCTAGTCACTAATTCTTTGATCTTGTTTTTAAAATTCTTCTATTTGATTTTCAGAATTGAATCCAAAATTCTTAGGTAGGCTTGCAGTGTCCCTCTCAAATCAGCTGGAAATCTAGATGATGCTGATGACACACAGGAGGTGAGAAGTAGCCACAGAAGTAGCACTGTGCCTGGTGACTAAATGACCACACTCCTTCCACTATGGGAGCTCTCTCTCTCCTGAGGAACAGAACACAAAAAAAATCCAGTTAGTCACAATCTACTGTCTATGCATACAATACACAAAGTGCATTGGTACAAATCCTACGAGAGTAGTGGATGCTGGGACAGCATATCTGAACCTGAAAATATTCCAACTCTTTATGGAACCAGTCTCATCACTGAGGCTTAGTTTTCTCCCTCTACAGCATCCCTCAAACAGCTTTCATTTCTGAAAACTTCTTAATCACTCTGCTCCTTTCTCTGTTTTTAAAACATTTTCTAGTCTCTTACAGACTGTAAAATAGGTTCCCTGTTCCAATTGTCAGTCCATCACCCCACCATCACCTATTCATTTGCAAAGATGATTCTCCTTTTCCTATTTATGTTCTCCTGAATCATTTCTTTGCAGCCTTTTCCTAAAACATTTGGCTTCATATCTCAGTATTTCTCTGAAGTTATTTGTCAAAGATTACTACCTCTTCCTGAACAAACTCAGTGGCTTTTCTTCAAAAGTTGGTCTTTAGTCTTTTCCAACTTCTTCAATAAAGTAAAAGCTATGATTTACATTCCTCAAATTTATGTATCTAACTATATATTGTAGGGGATCATTTTATAACCTAAAGTATGAATAATTTAAAGAGCAAATTAAAATAAATAATAGCAAATAAAGAGATAGATCTTTGCAAGTGAGAAGGGAACCAGGAGATGGACGGAGGGGAGGGGAAAGAAATGTAAAGAGAATTAAGATGTGTTATGTACATGTATCAACTCCCCTGATGAATGTAATTATGTGCTGCAAACATGTACTAATAAAAATTAAAATAAAATGAAAATCTATGAATGTGACCATCCTCATCTTATTTAAAACAGGAAGATAAGGTATCTGTCCTATAATATACTATTCTAAAGGCATGTACATTCATGGTTTGTTTTTTTTGTTTTTTTTTTGGTACTGGGGATCGAACTCGGAACCTTGCGCTTGCGAGGCAGGCACCTGAACCACTGAGCTAAATCCCCGGCCCTATTCATGCTTTTATTTATATAAATGTTTCCAACTTATCCAAAAAGTGAGTTTTAGGGGGCATGTTTTCTATCAAAATACTCTGTGATGCATGTTTCCTCTGACACAGAGGAAAAGCATGAAATGGGATTAAAGGAAACTGTCCAGAGTATGCCAAAGGAAGATCTAGATATGAACAAGGAATAGGTATTTTATTAAAAGTATGAGATTAAAAATCCTAACACAGCATTTTGCTTATTAAATCAATAATTCAAGACAAAAAGGAAAAAGCTGGGATTCTTTATAGTAAGTTTGAGTTTAGCCTGGAGAGAAAAGAATATAGTGGTTTTTCTTGCATGAGCCAAGTTTGGAAGAAGCCAGAAATGCCTTGGGAAACCTTTTCTATTAGGGCAAGATTGAAAAGAAAGATAATCAGTTTGAAGGAGGCCAGGAACACAGAGACCACTGGAGTTAAAAGTTTGAAGTTTCTGTTTCTTGTATTTCTCAGACTGTAGTTTGGGTTGAGTGAAAAGGCCACCAGACCTGAAGTCAAATAGCTAGAGTCTGCAGTTGGGTGGGAGACCCCTCAATACAACTTCCATTTTCTCCTGAGCACTATATAGAGAATAGTTTTGTCCTATTTCAGGCTTTCATGAGATCATGTGCCCTAAAGCTCTTGTTTGTATCTATTTGTTAAACATTACTCTTGAAAGAGATTTCTCTATGAGTTAAAACATATTATGTTTAATTCCCATTTCTCTAAATATCTAACAAAGTATTTTTAATAAATATTTTGTAAGGACCCATGGTAAAGCTGTAACTGATAAAGCCTGATTTACAAGAAAATAGCAGCAAATCTTACGGATTTTTTTTTTTTGGTACTGGGGATCAAACTCGGGACCTTGCGCTTACAAGGCAGGAGCCAGAACCACTGAGCTAAATCCCTGGCCCAGTAAATCTTCACTCAAGGAATAAACAGAACTTCAAGTGATACACGATCAAAGATCACCATCTAGTGGCTGTTATATCATAATGTCGGAATTTAGCAAGCTCTGATGACTTCTGAGGCTGGGAAGGTCGCCTGTGTGAAAAGCACCCAGCCCCATGGAGAGAGGACAGAGAAAGGCTTTTGCTGGGAGACTTTTGCCCCATTGAAGGCATTCAAAATTCAATAATAGATAAAGCACTGTCCTTCAAACTAACCAACTGGCCAAATCAAGCCTTGGTCCTGGGCCTCTAGTCAGTGTCAGAATACAAGCGGAAGGTTGTGATAAAGTGCTGAAGGTCTCTGGGAGACAAACTGAAACAGTGGAGATTCTTCAAATGATCTTAGACAAAGTCTTTGTGTTTCAGGAGTGACTTTACAATTGAAAATTTGGTTTACTTTTGGTACAATTGTGTTCAGTTTGAAGATAAAGGAAGCTGTGTTACTTTTAGGAAATTAGGAAGAAATAAAGTCACTAGAAAATACCACTGGGCCTAATGATACTTTTCTCCCTTTTGAAGGAGGCAGCATGAGCCATTGCAATGAAAACTGGTGTGAGAGTCAGAAGCCTGTATTCCAATTTAGGCTTCACTCTTTATTGGCTGTGTGGTTCTGAGACTGTTACTAAACCTCTCTGAGCCCTACGTGTTTGCTGTGAGGATTTCATGAAATGGGATTTAGAAATGACTTGCCTCAGTGTCTGGCATATAACTGATGTTCTGCCTACCTTTCTCTTACAAGAAGCTATGTAATTTAACTTAAAATAAAGATTAGAAAATTTTAACTTAGGAAAAAATAAGGTTTAAATCTGGGGCTGAAAACTTTTTAAAATTACTCTTTTTCTTCATTTTATGAAGACATATGTTTAGTCACTATGAGTAAAGTAAGTATGGTTGTAGTTCTCCCAGCTTTGACTAATTCTGGTATTTTTCAGGACTTAATTTTTTTTTAACTTCACAAAATCAGAGCTGTGTTACACAAAGGGCAGTGGAATGTGGTACATACACAAAAATCCATTGTACTATATTATCTGTTTCTTCTTTGTAACAGAGTCTTTTTTTCTATGTACTCCGAGTAACATTTCACCTGTTCTTTTAAGATTATGATGCACAGTGTATTACAAAAACAAAATCATGTGTAATAAAAACCATTTGTGATAATTCAAAAAAAATAAAGTGCCACTCAGGGCTTAATTTTAATGGTAACATGGAAGACACAGGTGCATCATCTGCAAATAAGGTTAATAATACAAACGGTACTCTCTTTTGCTTCTGTTGACATAGTCAAAGGGATCTCAGAGCTGCGAGTGGTTATCAGAAGAATCACAGTCCTGCATAGTCTTAAATAAGATGCTGCATAAGATGTCCACACCTCAGTGCCCTTCACAGGAGGAAGCTATTTCCACTACTGCTGATGTTTTGCTTCTCATGGGACACCTGTGAGAATATGACACAGTTACTACTGATTGTTTCAGAAATGCCTGCTGGTGTTCTCTATCTTCTTCACAAATCTGTTCTCTCCAAGGTCTGCTCTAGAAAGAGCTGCCTGTGGTTCCACTCAGGGGGCTGCTCCTTTATATACACTATGTGTGTGAGAATTTTGAAAAACTCACAGCTGAACACATACTTCCAACTTAGAGGCATATCCTTCAAAGCCCATGAGAGGCTACCATTCTCATACTATCCTTCTGGTCTGAGATGTAATTCCCTCAGGCCCCACTACAGTTTCCTCTATTTCAACAGAAAAAGGTTTTAATCCAACAGAGAAAAAAGATCTTTGTGGGTACAGTAGCTTGTAAGTTGGCTCCCAGTGTTTCACTAATGCTTTTGAGTAATAGTGGCATACCTTTAAAAAAGTTCCTTTAACACTGTCATTTGGGTGTATTTATTATAAAATGAGTTTTAAAAGTCATATGTTTAAAAACAGAAGAAATGTCTATATCCAGAGCTCCCAAAGGCTTGGTCCCACTGTGTTCCCCTTTTAGGCTGGTAAGCTAAGACTGGCACCCTGTCCTTTCACAGCTTCCTAAAATTTGGACCCATATTTTGGATACCAAGATTTGTTTGTTTATCAGTGATCCTTCCCAAGGGGGTACAGAGAGGGCCTCATCCTCAGACATACCAGGGCTTTGCATACTCACTTGAGTGTCCCCAGGCCAGCTGCCTGTTCTAATTTGAGGTATGAAAATAGGCTTACTAAGTAAAGCTAGGCAGCTGTGGCAGGAGGTAAAGCGCAAGGCATAAAGACCTGTGTTCAAATCCCAGCTCCACTACTCACAAGGTGTTTAATTGTTCAGAGCCTTGAGCCTTGTTTCCTCATCTGTGAGACGGCATCCTCTGCTTGCCCTGCCTGCGGGACTATGAGGAGTGCTGGATGGCCCCTGAGTCTGAGAAGACCCTTTGTGAGCCAAGCCCCCATACTACCTAGATCCCTTCAGCCTTAATGGGAGGTGGCTCACTCAGCTTACAGGGAAGTTTGTGGCAAGCAGGGAGGAGGCATCCTCTTTGGTAGCCCATGAGGTGGCCTGTGTCTGTGTGCCCAGGCCTGGCTGGAGGATCCTCTCTGCCCACACCCGACCCTCAGCATAATGCCCCAGGCTCACCGAGCGCCTCTCCACACTCCCTTTTTTCCTGCCATTCTTGCCTGCAGTGACATCTAGTGAGCGGTAGCTGGGTGGCTTCTCCTCGGGCCAGGTTGGGGAATAAGACCGGCTATGATGACTTCGGGACCCCTGGTCTCTGGGTGGTGGTGTCTCCTTCTCCTCATCAGAGCTCCAGGAACTGAGGCCAGAGGGCATGGGAGGGGAGTAGCTTCGGGGCCGGGGTCTCCTGGTCCTCCGGTAGTCCTCCCCAGGGCTAGGCCTGTGGGGCCGCACCTCATGGTGGCTCCTGGGATGGGGACAGCTGGGTGGCCAGCGTGTCTCACTGGATGAGGGGCCATCACTGAGGCTGTCCGGGTCTGACCAGGCCGAGGGTGACCTATGCCGCCTGGAGCAGCGGTGCCATCCTCTCCAAGGGTGGTCCAGCTCCCTTCTTCCAGATGCCCAGGGTTTTGGCCTTCTGTCCTGGAGCTCCTGGTGGAAATCAGAGTAATGGTGCTGCCTTCTGCCCTCCCTCCGATCCCAGGGTCTGGAGGGAACCGGGGTGAGCCACTGCTGGTGTGACGCATCACTGGTCCTGCTCAAGGATGGCAGGTCTCTGATGAGCGGAGGCAGGCGGATGATTCTGCGCTCCACAACCTCAGAGCCCAGGGAGGACAGCATGCTGCAGGGGTGGCCAGATCTGGCTTTGTGGTCAGGAGGCAGAGGCTGTGCTGGGTTGAGGTTCCGCAGCTCTTTCTCCAAATACTCCAGGACACCATTGGTGGTAGGAGGATGAGCAGAGGTTTGAGTCATTGGCATCTGTGGGAGGCTGGACTGTAAGGACAAATCTGAATGGAAACAAGGACAGAACATGCCAAACTGCTGGCCCAAACCATGCTCCAAAGATTCAGGACATCAAAATATCACATTATGTAGCTGACTCCACTCCCTCCCATCTTCAATCATAAAGACACCCCTGGAGGCCCAGTGAAGCCCACGCTCCTACCCTTGCCCCTGCCCTCCCCTGTCCAAGGCTCTGGCATGGTTTACCTCGCTGCAGCAGCGGGTTCACTGTATAAGATGAGAGCTGGGAGCTCCTGTCCGCACCCCAGAACAGGGGTTTTTCCATCATCTGAGGACCTAGGGCCTGAGCCTGCTTCATGTAGCGTTGGTGGGCCAGGGCTGCAGGGGAAGGAGGAGAAATGCAGACCCTCAGCCAGGGAAGCTCCACCTCCCTCTTCACTTCACTCCACCTAACAGTCTCGCAATGAGGCCAGCTGGTCTCCTCCAAGTTCATTCCTCATCTTGCATGGCAGTAAGCATTAAGGGAGTAAGGAACCAACTGTATCTCTGGCAAGGAGCTGGGAATAAACTTCCTCTAGAAAAGATTGTGATTTCCATACCCTAGGAAAGGATACTCCTAAAATTTGACTTCCCAACCTCAAAACCATTTCATCATCCTACCTGCCCACTCCCAAAGACACCTAAATGCATAGGAAGGTAACAGGGAAACTGGCAGACAATGAAATATGAGGCCATAGGCTAGCAAAATAAGAAACCAAAAGCCAGAAATTGAAGGTACACATGCAAAGGATTTAAAGAAGACTGTGAGTCAGGGGCTGGGGACTGTTGGGGCCTGCCAGGAAAGCTCAGGGCTATCTGCTCAGAGTGGAAGAAAAAGGGAAGCATATGGTGCTGAGGAGTATTTCCAGCTGGAACCCCAGCCCTGGTGGGTAGGAACCTGTGGGAGGAAGGTGAAGGAATTCGAGGAGCTGAAGTGGGACCCAGCAGACCCTTTTTGATCTTTTCACCTTATTAAGCATTGGGGCTTCCTCTAGACAGGGAAGTCTTTAAGGGATGGAGTGGGCAGGGAAGCAGGAAGGGAAATACTAACCCTTTCAGGGCAAAATAAATAAATAAATAAACAAACAAACAAATAAATAAACAAATAGTGCAAAAAGGAGCACCAGAGGTCCACTGAAATGTCAGTCTAGTCTCCTAGGTGCAGCTGTTCTGAAGCACACAAACTATAATGAGCACAAATTAAAAATAAACGCATTTGTTTTCGTTCATGAACTTCTATTTTGAGCCAATTGTGGCTGAGTGCCACATGGCTCCCAAGGTTGCTGCTCATTCATGCATGTAGGAGATGCACTTGCACATTCTACTTGGGCTATGAACAAGGACAGGCCCAGCCTGATGCTCTCAGACCCTGCTTAGTTTGCCAGGCCCTATGCACTCTCCTAAAGCAGCACAGTGCTGCTTGAGGCTCCCATGGCACAGCAAGAGGGGCCAGAAGGCAGGCAATCTAGCTATGCAGAGTGGCAGGTTAGCTATGGCTAGTGGCAAGGGGCCCATCTGAGGGGCCATGGGTAGCTCCATTGTGAAACAACTTCCACACAACAGGAAGTGGTTGCAGCAGAGCCCCCAGAAGTGTCTGAGCTCCAGTCCTATGGTGAACCACAGCCAGGTCAGGAGGAAATCAGATGCAAACTCTTGACAACTCACCCAGCTGCCACACCTTCATGCCAACTGCCAGCACTCAGCATCTCTGAAGACAAATCCTACTCAGCACCTTGCTATCCCTAATGGATACCCTCCTCCCAAGCACCCTCTACTGGCCACCACGGATACACATAACTGCTCAGTACACTAACTAATCCTCTGAGAAATCTCTGAATATGGGATCAGATGAGAAAGCTGGGCTCAGAGGTTGCCTTCCTAGCCCAAGGTGCTCCAGAGACTGGCAGAGCCAGGGTGTGAACCTGTATCTGTCTCTCTCTGCCACATCGCCAAGTCTCCAGACTTCTTTATTTTCTGTGCTCAAGCCAAAAACCAAAATAATAACAAAAGCCGACAAAAAAAATCTTCGTCAGCAGAACTTCTTTGGTTTACTTCTCTCAAACTCAGCCCCACACCTTTCAAAGCCTACCTCAGACTACTCTCTGGCCCCAAGATCAGGGGACATCTGGTTCTTCTAGGAACAACCCTGCCCTCTGTCACTCCTTTCATTGAATCCTGGCTTCTTCTACATGGTACCATTTATCCATTTCCTTGGGTCCCACTTCTGGACACTTTCCTTCAGTTATTCTGACATATTCTGGCAAGAAAAGGTGTATTTTCCACCAAGTCCTTGATTCAATGCTGGCAGTCAACCTAGTGCTGACTACTGAGGGTTCTTAATACTTGGACATATAAGGCCCTTAAATACAGGCTTTGAGGATTAGATTGACTTAGTTACGTTCTGGCATACACTGGCTGTGTGACTTTGAGAGTTTCCAGAGTTTCCAGAGTCTCTCAGCCCAGTCTGCTAATCTGTAAGCCAAAGTGCTCTTTCACAAGGTTGTGGAGATTAAAAGAGAAAATGCTCATGAGATGCCTAATAGATGAGAAAGAGTTCATAGTAGCTCTCATTATTATAATAAAAATGCATCTTTTGCCTTAGATCCCATAGGAGGAAACAAACACATGCATTTCAAGACTAAACCACTAGGGCTGGGGATTTAGCTCAGTGGTTTCGCGGCCTGCCTCACAAGTGCAAGGTCCCAAGTTCAATCCCCTGTACTAAAAAAAAAAAAAAAAAAAAAGACTAAACCACCAAAGGCATTTTAATTTTCATCTTTGAGGGAAAACCAGGGCATATTCTTTAAGACAACCCCTTTGTGACAGAAATGACACTCAACAGCTCACTCTACTCCAGAGACCCATACTTATCATCCCTCACAGTTGGCATCCTCTATGTCCACAAGCACACAGAACGGGTATCTTTCAGTCTTTGAATTTCATATGCCCTTAACAAAAACCTGTCCTTTGCCCCTCTTTATCTCATGGCTACTCAGTCCTTTTACTTTTTCCAAACTATCAATTTCTTGGACTTGATTGGTCAGTCATTTCAGCAACCTCCTCAGGAGCTTCCTAGAGTGCCATGTCCCTTTGACCTCTTGCCATTTAGCCATAGGGAACCACCAGTCAGTGCGTCCTGGCTCCATTCAGGCCAGACCTCAAAGAGCTCTCTTCCCAGAAGGGCTTTCCTTGGTTGATCTGTCTATTGAATATGTGTTCCTTCCTCTGTAGCACTAGGTTAAACATTGCCCACATCACAGGTCTTTCTCTCCCTGTGAACTTTCAGCTGATGACATCATCTTTGTTAAGAGCAAGGAACCAGCCCTGCACATGGAGTTGAGAGATAGAAGTCTAGTCCAGGGCCCACCACAAACAGGTTGTGTAAGTGTGGAAAAGTCTCTCCAGACCTCACTTCCCTCAGCTGTGGGGGCTGTGGAGGGAGAGGTCAGAGATTCTCAGGGTGGCTGGTGGCCCACTTGGAGCGTGTCTCCAGGTTCTCTGGGGAATAGGGCTAGTAACCCACCTAGGGGTGAAATCTGCTTCTCTAGTTCTCATGGAAAAAGAAAGACTCAATTTCGAAAATGTTCATCTGTAAACCAGGAGTAGGTGGATTATCAAGGAATACTAAAATGTGGTGTCATTTTCATTCTTGTCCTCTCCAAGCCTGTGATAACTCTCAGGGAAAATGGAAGCAGTCTGGGGAGGTGGGCTGCAGTTAGAGAAGCTCCTGAATCACCGGCCACCTTCACCAGGCTCCCTTCCACATCTACTACTCTGATTTGTTGAAATCGAGACAGGATAATGTGAGCTCCTTCCCTTCTACCTGAATCCTCCTCTACATTTACTGAATTTCCCTCTCTCCAGGGGCCAAGCCACCTTCCGTCGCTCCCCTTCCCCTTCTTAGGATAGTTCTTTCTTGGCAGGCCAGTGCCACCACACATCAGTGACCGCCTCACTTCTTAAGTCTTCACTTTCTTCTTATGGTACTGGCCTTGGTTCTTTGCTTACATACATATGTTTAGGGTTATCTTCGTCTAAAAGAACCAATAACAACAACAAAAAAAAATCTCCCTCCCCTAATCATAGCACTTTCCTTAACAATTCTTGCCCCTTGATGGAATTCCTTATGTCTCCGAACTTCTCAGAACAGTGACTCACTTTGAAAGTGACCTCATCAGCTCAAGTCCAGAGCTCTTTTCGGCCCGCATTTCTTCATTTTATCAGTTCTTTACAATGAACACCAACCACCTGGGAAAAAAACACTCTCTCCCCAGAACCTCTCCCCAGAATCTGTTTCAGTTCACTGACTGGATGTATTTGTCTCCCAAGTCTTGCTGGATTTCAGTGCCCCATGAACCTACAGATTCTAAGAAGGTGTCCTGGGAAATTACTCTCATCTCATCTCCCATATCACTACTCCAGCGACAGAGGTTTTCCCAGGGCCTCTCCCCCTGATGCCACTGAACAGTAGGGACTCCATGGCCCAACACTGAGTCCTCTGCTATTTTGCCCTCTTTAAGAAGTTCGTGCTGTCTTAGCCAATCCCAGAGTGATCAGAGGCTGGGGTGGCACCTGCATGAGACATAGACACAAGTCACATGGACATGGACTAAACACTGCATGGCCACTGCCATGTACTAGCTGTGAAACCTCTGAGCTTCTGGCTCCTCCCCTGTTAAAGAGGGGTGACATCTGCCTTCTAGAGTTGTTGTGAGGATTCAGTGAGGACATATATGCCAGACACATGATGTTATCCAATAAAAGTTAGTTCTCTTTTCCTGTAAGACACCAATCTTGGAGCACAGGCCTGAAACCAGACTCAGACAACTGACCTTCTTAATGAAGATTAGGTTTTTGTTTCTATTATCATGGGCAATTCCTTATGTTCCTCTTAGAATTTTTCTTTCAAATGGACCAAAATGATAAGAGTGGTTGTGGTTGTCTGTGGCTGCTCAGATTAGTCCACATTTTTCTGAATTTTGCAAATTTCCTATTGTGGTAGCATATCATCAGGAAAAGGAAATGTTATTTAAAATGGAATTAAAAACTTCCATTTAAAACAACTGATTCTAGTCCATCTATTTACTAATAGAAGATCTTTATAGACTAATTCATCAATTCTTTTGCCTTTGTCATATACTCTATAGCCACATTTTTATAGTTCTGCTTTGAAGGATCAAATTTTAATCCAAATAAACATCCCATTTAGAGCAAATTGAGTGCCTTGGAGCTCACCTGTGAACCCTGCACTGAGGGAGGCTGAAGCAGCCTCCTCATACCTAGCCTGGGCAACTTGCAAGAGTCTGTCTCAAAAAAATAAAAAGGCTGATGATGTAGAGCTTCAGTTTAAGTTTAATGCTTTAATAACTGTTTACTCTGCTCTTTTCAAGTCTTCTTTAAGAAATGGTGTGAAAACGTAATAGAATTAAAAATATACCCTTCTGCACATGGTACCTGACAAAGCTCCTAAAATCCTTGGACTCTCCAGAGTGATGAATATCTTCTGTACACTAATGAAATGGCTGGTGGGTGGGGAGCTCCTAGATGGCTTCAGGATGGGGGGGGGGCCCACAAGAAAGACCAGGACATGATTAGAGGGTGGGGACTTTCAGAAAGATCCATTCCCTAACCTCCAGGGAGGGGAGAGGGGCTGAAAGTTCAGCTGATCACCAATGGCCAATGACTTAATCACGCCCCTGTAGTCAAGCATCCACAAAAACTCGAAAGGGCTACGTTCAGGGAGCTTCTGCATAGCTGAACATTTAGAGGTGCTGGGGGTCTGTGCACTGGAGAAGGCATGGAAGAGCCACACCTCTCCCCACATACCTGGCATATGTATCTCTTCATCTGTATCCTTTACTACAGCCTTTGTAACAAGTGGGTAAATGTTAGTGAAGTATTGCCAAGTTCTGGAAGCTGCTCTAGCAGATTAAAACAATCTGAAGAGGGGATTTTAGGCACCTCCAGTTTATAGCTAGTTGGTCAAAAGTTAATGTAAGCACTTCCAACTTGGGATTGCCATCTGATGTGGGGAGCAGTCTTGTGGCAGCACTGTGGGATCTGTTGCTATCTCCAGGCAGACAGTGTCAGAGAGCTAAATTATAGGACACCCAGTTGGAGTCTGGTGGAGAACTGCCTGATGTTGTGGGGAGAGTGCACACACACATCTGGTTAAAAGCAAGACCCTATTTGTCTCCAAAACAAAAAGTATTATGCCAAGTGGAATTTTTTTCCTTTATAAGTAGACTTCTATCTCTGCTTCATTCATACCATTCCTTCTGCCACCTCATATCTAAGCAGGGTCAGTACTAAGGGCAAAGACTACAGCCTAGGCAAACCAGAATCACTGAAGAAATGCCATCAGTAGGCAGAGCCATCTGAAAGAGGCTTTCACCAGCCCAGGAGGTTGGCAGGGAGAAATCCTCATATTGCTGCCTTCCATGTGGCTCTGCAGATCTATGGGCACCATTTACAGGGCTGAGGCTAGTATCCTTGGAACCTGTGATGGAGATGGGCATAGAGGAGAACCCAGGGCTTTGTCATGCACATGGTAAGCTGATCTGCTTGGAGTACAGGGCACACCAGTACCAACCTGCCCCACAGCTGGTCTGTCCCTGCTCACCTTCCTCAGGGCAGCAACAGCGGGTGGGGCAGCAGGGGCAGCGGATGTAGCAGCAGCAGTACTGTGGGCAGCACTGGCACCAACATATTCCGATCAACAGCAACAGGAGAAAGGCTCCCAGAATGATGAAAATCACTGTCAGCCAGTCTGTGAGGAGAGAAGCCAAGCAGGGGTGAACAATATATAGGGTGGTATTCCTTGGCCTAACACTTTTGATCTACAGGCTAATGTTGAGCAACAGACTGGTAAAAAAAAGCAAAAAACAAAAAACACTTAGCTTTGATAAAGTCATTCAGAGACTCACAAAGACAATAACAGAGGTTTGCTTTTGTTTTTGTTTTGGGTTGTTGCTATTCCTACAAATGTTACAGTGATGTCACAGAAAGTGCCAACTGCACTTACGCAGGACGATGAGCTTCACCTCCTTATCTGGGTCTCCGGATGTGTCCCCCGGAGCCTCGATGGTGCAGTAGTACACCCCATGGTCCCACCACATCACTTCATTAATCACAAGATCCGCTCCTACACAGGAAGGAAGGGGAAAGTGCCAGGAGTCAGAGGACAAAGCCATTTCTGATCAATGGAATCCTCAAGGCATCAGCATTGTCCTTCCATGGCCTAAGAGGAACCCTGGTAGATGAGAGAAAAATCTCAGTTTCTTCCTCTGAGACCTTCCTCTTTCTCTGAACAGGATAGTAATGGTTGAACTTACTCATTGGGTCCCTCTATGTACTTTATAAGGCTTCTAGATAGATTACTTCAATTCATTCCGACTACAACCCTGTAAGTAGGTAAAGTAGAGATTACCAGTTGTCTTCCAGTATATATTTTCCCTTTCTCCTATGATCATAGAATGTTTGCCATATATGCAGCTGCTATGGTTTAAATATTTGTCCACTTCAGAACTCATACTGCAATTCTATTATCATCGTATTGGTGTTAAGAGGGGGCACCTTTGAAAGATGACTGGGTCACAAGGGATTCATACTGAAGCTTAGGATTGGTGCTATGATGAAAGGTGAGTCTGGTACCTTCTTGCCTTCTCACCTTCTGCTATGTGAAGACACAGCAATAAGACCCTTGCCAAAGTTCAAACTTCTTAGCCTCCTGAGCAGTAAACAAATATAGTACATTTCTACTTAGTATATATTACCAGGTCTCAGGTATTCTGTCATATGAAATAGACTAAAATAGGAGCCTGGAATAAAATCTGTGTTTCCCATCCTCTCTTATGTATGGACATGGACAAGTGACTCAGTTCTGGTTTGTATAATATAAGAAGTGCCACATAATGCTTCCCAAGAACTTTCTTAAAAACAGCTTGTGAACAACGTTACCCTTTGTTCTTCCTCTCCAACTCTGCTACCTGGTGCTATGGTTTAGACAAGTTTCAGTGTGTCCCCAAGGGTTCACGTGTTGGAACCTTGGGCCTTGGAGTGATAATGTTGGGAGGTGGTGAAACCTTTAATAGGTGGGGCTGACAGCAAGGCAGCTAGGTCACTGAAGATATTGCCCTGGGAAGAGATGAACATAGTTCTTATAGGATCCCAGTTAATTTCTGAAAGAGTGGGTAGTTATAAAAAAGCAAAACTGATCCTCTCTGCTCTATAGCTTCCTACCTTTCCAAGTGATCTCTCTTGAGTATACTTCTACTATGATGCCATCAACTACATGGTGATCCACCAAGGGGGCCCTCGCTTGAGGCCAAATCAGTGGTGCTAAGCTTGGACTTTCAGCACCCAGAATTATGAGCTAAATAAGCCCATTTTCTTTACAAAATTATCCAGCTTCAGGTATCTTATAATAGCAACAGAAAATGGACTACTGTAGCTGGAAAGCAAACCTGATAGCTTCCATCTTAGATGAGGAGGAAGAAGATGACATTCTTGGTCACATGGACAGAATTTGATTCTCTGAGGACTTAACGAAACAGAAATCCCACATTAGGTCTGGACTGTATATGCCTCTGGTTTTACACATGAGAGAGAAACAAACTTTTTTATTGCTTAAGTCGCTAATATTTTGGGGTTTTGCTTACCAACAATCAAGCTTAATCCTAAATGATAGGGGGTATGATTATTTGGCTGCATTTCAGATGAGGAAAATAAAGACACAAAGAGGCTAAGGAATTGACCAAATTACATACGGATAATACCACTCAAAAGAGATGGGTCAAAACCCGTATCTCTCTGCCTCAGAGGTGGTGGTTCTTAAACACTAAGCTCTATTATCTTCTCCAAACTGGGTACGAAACTCCACAGCCTGAGCTCTTTACCAGCCTAAGATAAGCAAATACTGCTGGATCTTGAAGGAAAAAGGTTATAAGAAGATGTTAAATCAGTATGGATGGAATAACAATATTTCTAAGAGTAAATGATACCCAAGAAAAGAATTTAAGTCCTATGAGCCCTGAATAGTCTGATACTCCATTAAGATAAATGAATGATTAACATATGTTCCAGTTTAACAAACTGGACAAATGTTTACTAAAGACCTTTTGTAGGTTCAGCATTATGTCAGGAACTGTGGGAGCATTAAAGAGGAACAAGACTTTCTCTATTCTAGAAGGGTTTAAAAACCAGTCTCAGGCAACAGGGCCCCTCTGCATCCAAAAGGGATGGCTGTACCTGTTCTTAATCTCAGTAAGTGCAGGAGGATATCTTCAAATTCTTAAAGACCTTAGAAAGACAGGCTTGTTCTTGGTTGTATCTGTTAATGGTCATATCTGTAACTCTCCATTATCTGTTTGTCAAGAAATAGTTATTGAGGAAATGAAACAAAAACACAACCTCATGCAACATGGGAGCAACTTCTGACTTCTATTTCCTTCTCTTTTGCGTCAACCCCTGTGATGTTTTTCCTATCCACAATTTTCCAAACCTACTACTTTTCCCACAAACAAGCTTACCCCATACTCGAAAGAATGGTGAAAGTGCTTTGGGCAAAAGTCCTCCCAAAGTTCGATGAGCATTGTAAGTCTGCCCCGGTTGTTACTGAAAAACTCCTTAATGTCAGTATAATAAGGGTATTCAGGTATGTTAATATGTTAGATGATCCAAAAACTCATTTGACAGGGTTATCTGAAATCATAAAAACACAGGCCTGAAAGTATCAGAAAATAAGGCTCTAGGAAGTCACAACAAGCCAGGAGGTAGAAATAAAACCCAAGGGGAAATACTGCTTTCCTGCAGGAGCAAGAAAGAGGCAGGTTTTGACCCAAAGGTAGCGGAGGGAGGAGAGGTAGTGGAAGGTGCTGTTTAGAATTAGAGTAAAAACAGGGACTGGGATTTAGCTCAGTGGTTCTACCGCCTGCCTCACAAGTGCAAGGTCCCGAGTTCAATCCCTGGTACAAAAAAAAAAAAAAAAAGAATTAGATAAAAACAAAGGACACAGATCATTATCCATGGGTTTGCTCATCCTTCATAAGCTATAAATGAGACTTGCTAATTAAAGAGGCCTTAAACTTTGGGGTCAGATCAGAATTCTCCTAGCTCTGGAGAAAGTAGAGCCACCTTAAATCTTTGCACTTGGAGACGAGATAGATATTCCCTAAGGACAAGTGTTCCAGGGCTAGCCTAGGAAAATCAGAGGTTGGATGGAAAAGGATCTGATTTCAGTATTACAAAATTGGAAGCAATGAGTAAACTGGCTGTTTAAGTTATCTACCTTTAAATGGCCACAGAGTAGAATATTCACTGATTTCCTCACATGCAGCTGTGGGAACCATGAGTGGCCAGCTGGGTGCCTCTGCCATTTTTTTCTTTTAACTAGCAAAATTTTAAAAATAGCACATCAATCTCACTGAAATAAGGCTTCAATACTGTGCCAGTGACTCATTACAGCAGTGCTGGATTACAGGTTAGGAACAAGAGGCATGAACGCATGCTTTCCGAAGTGTACTGACTGACAACTAACAATTACTGCGTACTCACTGCTTGCTATGTGATTTTTACACAGTGTCTCAGTCCTCTATTCTCTTGAGATGGGTACTGGCACAAGTCCTATCTTGTAGATTTTGAAGCTAAAATAGCGGAAGGACTTTACCCCAGGCACAGATCCTCTCTGTACAGACTGCAAACCTACAGAGCCCAAGTCTGGCTGCAGGGCCAGGGCTCCAACCGCTACTTCCTATACCAGGCACAAAGAGCGTTAGACCCAGTCCCTAGACATTGGCTTCACTGTGCACTTCAGTGTGGGGAACCAGATCCTCATCTCTCAGATGAGGAAACAGAAACCAGAGGAAATAACTGATCTGGCGCTGATCACTGAGCTAGTGAACAGAAGTGCTGGGATTCTCACACAGGGCTTTTTATACCAAGCCCCTTACTCTTTCTTCTACCAATGGAGGATAGTGGACTAAGTGGTCACCTGGTCACAAGCCTGTATTTCCTTTGTATAAGCAACAGAAGAGGCCCAGATTGGAACCCAGGGACCTGGGGTTTGATTAGACCCTGACAGCAATTTGTAGAAAGGATCAAAGGAACCATTTCACACCTCACTCTGAATCTCAAGAAAGTCAAGGAACCCACTCACACCCAGACCTTTAGCCTGCTCCACAGAACATCCTGTGATCCCAGAACAAGTTCCAGGGAAGTAATTTCAGCTAGCGCAGCACATTCTAAGAATCTGGCACTTTTCTCAAACAATGACAGTGACCCAGTAGATCAGAAGAGAATGGGAAATCCCATGCTGACTCAGCCTGCCAGGCCTGTGTCTACATCTCCTCCACCTCTAGTTCCCCTACCACCTCCCACGCACTCACGGTTCTGGATGGTGATCTTGCGCTGTCGGTAATCCACCCCCAGCACTGGCTCATTCTGCCCCCGCCTCTGGGCCACAATGCGAACTTCCCTCTGGTTATCATTGCAGTCATTGGACGGGTCTTGGCCAAGAGATAGAGCTGCCTGGTACGCTGCAGAAGGAAGACACACGTGAGTCTACAGCATAAACTCCCAGCTGATGCCCATCAGTCACAAGTGATGCCAGAAACACCACCCTCAGCAACAAGACTCCAGACCCCCTCAGGGGCCATCATCTGCAAGTCCTGGCTGTATTCCCCCATCTCATGTCCCAAATTCTCCAGTCTCATTTATAGCCTCTGCACCCACAGTGCTCATTCACTCTCCTTACGACAGAACATCTGAGAGCTGTCAACTCTGATACTGGCCAATGCCTACTACTCTAATCTCTCCTCCCTTCCCACTTAGCCCAGGCACTTCAAGAGCAACCCCCAGGAAATAATGTCTTTGGGGAATCTTTGGGGGACAATTTCAGGAATAGTGAGTGGCTCTAACTAGATATTTTGGTTCTACTTAAATCCTATTAAAGACATTAGCCCCAGGGTTACAGATGGTAAAGCTGATGCTTCCAGCTCCCTCTGCCCCATCTCAGGACACTCATTTCTTTCCTCTAGGGAAGGGATGGCAAACCTTTTAGAGATTGAGCGCCCAAACTGCAACCCCAAACCCACTTATTTATCGCAAAGTGCCAGCACTGCAATACTGAGGTTTTAGTTTAGAAAACACAACTGTTACCCGATGCTCTCAGCTGCTGGGGTGACTTCGCTCACACGCTAACAGAGGGCTCTGTGCACCCACTGCGGCACATGTGCCATAGGTTTGCTACCACTACTCTAAAGTGTCCACATTTAGCCTCAGAATTTCTAAAAGGTTGTCTCCAGCTGACTGTGGGGTTCTGAATTCCTTTGTTTCTAGAGAGAGGACAAAAATGGGCAGCTCAGGAAGAGCTCTGAACCAAGGCAGTTGTTACTGAGAGGTGGGGCTTGGCTGGACAGCAATAAAATGCCCAACTGCAAAAGGGCTGCCTGGGACAGAAAGCTCTCCAACACTCAAAGTGTTCATCCGAGGAGAGACGGTCACCAGGAAGGTTCGCCTAGGAAGGGAATGTGGCAGTGACAGGGCTTCACCACTGACCACTCAGGTTTTGCATCCTGTGGAGGGTAAGATGTCTGCCTGTCTATATTTGAAGGCTGTGGGGTGACAGGGGGCAGATCTGCATCATTGGGCTGGCATGAACCAGGAATGGATGAGGTGGCAAGATTTGCTCTGCCTTTTATAGAATACTTGAACTGCCTTAAATATTTTTTAGAACAAGATAGGACAAAAGTTTGAAAATAAACTAGTATCTGACCTTGGGGAAGTTATTTTGTCAGCCTGGGTTCAGGATAAATATTTGTTTATCTATAAACTGAAGGGATTGCATCTCTGTGGCTTCTCACTATAAAGATTTGCAGTCCTAAATAATTCCTAGCCCCAGTGATGGACCATCACAGAGATGCCTGTGCCCTGTGCAGAACAAGAAATGGGAGGGAACTCACAGGCAGAGAAGTAGTCAAAGATGGGGTCCTTGCAGAAGGACTTGAAACGCCAGGTCACCACCACATCCTGGAGCTGGGCAGAGGTGGTATAGTCACATTTGAGGGTAACGGAGGCAAACAGAGTGACATAGCGTTCTGTGTCCTGGACCGTCACCAGCAAGGACAGGCATCCTGAAGGTAAGAGCAGAAGATAATGCTGAAGGTGACCTACTCCCCATGGATTAACACAAGCAATGCAAATGTACAAAACACCCTGCCTTCCTTCCCTCCTGCCTGACTGGTTGGGAGCTCACAGGCAGGGTCTGACTTCTCCCTCAGCAGAGAATGATACAGAATCAGCCCTCAGCACCCTGGCAAGGCACAGGAGAAAGGAAAACTCCCAGGTCTTACAGTCCATTAGCAGCAAGAAAAATTGTATGAAAATAAGCTATGTCTGCCCTGGAGTGGTCTTGTTAACATATTTTTTCCACATCACTTCTCTTCTTAAAGTAGTTCCCATTTCCCTGGAGTTCGGACTCCATCACCAGGCCTAGAAAGCTCCTTGGGTCTGCCTCCTACTTTTTTTTTTTTTTTTTTTGGTACCGGGGGATTGAACTCAGGACCTTGTGCTTGTGGGGCAGGTGGCAGCACCACTAAGCTAAATCCTCGGCCTCCTCCTGCCTTCTTCTGATGCCTCATTTCTCTTTACACCCCACCTGTTATTCTAGGCTGCAGCCATTCTGGACTTTTCTCCCCATTTTGGGATGATTCTCTTTTTCAGGTCTTCACTTGAGTGGCTCACCCAGCCTGGAGTCCTCTTCCATCTCCCCTGCCACCACTCCACTCTTCTCCAGTTACCAGCCCTTCTTCCATGGCTCCTCAGTTGTACCTTCACCTTCTCAAACAGCTTGCTGACTGCAAGGCTAGAAGAAGGCCTCCCTGTTTTCCAGAGTGCCTCGCCCTACCTTTAGGCAGCTCTTCTCTGTTTCTTGGTGACTGCCTGTTCATGAGACACTCTCAGACAGCCCTGCATTTGTCTCTAATTCACTGTGCAAACACACACCTTGTGCCATGCCTGTCACATGCATGGCACTCCACAACATCTGTTAAACAGAAGAACACAACCACCACTGACATTCTGCAGCACAGGCAGTCAACATAGGCATAAAGCAAATCCAACAAGAATGATTAAATGGCAACAAGCCATATCAAGAAAGATTTGAGGGAATTACATTTTTTAAAAAAAAATTCCATCTCAAGATCATAGGATTCCATAGGCATTCTTAATGCTCTAGGTGTGCCTGGAGAGGAGCCAGGTGACACAGAAGAATCAGGTGGGACTGTGGTACAGTCAGGGGACCATCAGTAATCAGCATTTTGAAAGTTTCCCATGTTAATGTGGCTTCTACACCAACTTAGAAGGGGGTCCTCCTGTGGAGGAATAGTGTAAACAGTAGCACTCAAATTGGAATTTGCAGCACCAAGACTTGTGACAGCCCAGATTTCTGAGCCCTATGCCAGAAGTTTCCAATTCAGCAGAACTTGAATGAGGCCCAAGGACTTACATTTCTGACAATTTTTCAGGAGATGCCAATGCTACTGCTCGGAGGACCACACTTTGAAAACTATGGGTGCAAACAAGATTGAGTACTACTCAGCCACAAAGAAGGATAAATTTGTGTCATTTGTAGGAAAATGGATGTATCTTGGGACTGTAAAGTTAAGTGAAATAAACCAGACACAGAGTGTTAAATATCACTTGGTTTCCCTTATATGAGAAACTCAAAATATAAATAATTTAAAGAGCAAAATAAAAGAGATGATAGGAAAGAGGGAGGTAGACTTTGTAGAGATGGGAAAGGGATCTGGGATGAAGTGAGAAGGATGAATAGGAGGGGAAATACAACTGGGTTCAAATCAAAACCAGTCTGTCTTTTACTCAGACATTGGAAAGCTATTTACTGTCCCGAGCTTCTGTTTCCTCAGCTATGAATGGAGATAAAGATACCAGTACTATAGGCCAAATATCCCTAATCTGAAAATCCAAAATCTGAAATGCTCCAAGATCTGAAAACTTTTAGAGTGATGACATGACACTCATACAATTTATAATTTTAAATCATTTCAGACATCATATTTTCATGTTAGGAACGTTCAACTGGTAAAGTCTATGCAAATATCCCAAAATTCACAAAACTAAAAACCTGAAGCACTTTTGGTTCCTAGAATTTCAGAGAAGGGATGCTCTACCTGTTCTAACCTCATCAGATCCTTGCAAGAATGTCACGAGATAATCCACCTCTGGTGCTTGGCACAATGCCTGGTATTACGCTATCGGGTTAGTATTGGAATCTCTTCCCTCTTTTCCCTTATTATGAGAGCCAAGAAAAAGGGATTCAAGCTGAGGTTTTTCCCAGAAGAATTCTCAGGGTTAACCCCCTTCTTCTTCACTGAGTCACCTAACAGAGAGCACCAGGTGTGCCCACCTTGGTGGCGAGAGTCCATGATTCTAGGTTCTAGATGCTGCCTCACCTTCTGACCACAGTCCCCTGAAGCTCAGGCTGGGCACCTTCACTGGTTTTCTCAAGTCCATAGAGAGAAACTCAGTGGTGCTTTGGACAGGTTCTGGTCGGCAGAAATGACCTCACTGGTCTCCAGCACTGAACTGTGATGAAGAAGCCCCCTGACAGATGTGTTAGGGAAAGGCTATAGCAGGGCAGGGGAGACTCAAGGGTGGGAAAGACTGCTCAGAAGGGGGAGATTTAAGATAGAGCCTAAGGCTCAGTAGGATTAATATTGTGCATGAGAAGTGGGGTGTAAGTTGGGAGACTCATTGTTGCAGCAAGGAGGAAAAAGGAGTGAGCAAAGTCATTTATCAGGAAAGGTCAGCTACTCTGGGAGCCTGAAGGAAGCCAATCTAGCTGGTGTCTCTGGCTGTAAAGGAGACAGAAGGTGAATAAGGAGAGGCTGGTGATGGTGAGTGGGAGGTGGGTTATAATTCACTGTTTAAGTCTAGTTCATGGACAATTACTGAAGGCTTTTCTGAAGAAGAGCAATAAGGTGGAAGTGTTATTTTTTAGGAAGCTGGATGACTTCCTTATTCAGCTGTGAATGGGAAAAAGCCATCATTTTCAGAATAAACCTTCAGGAGTTTGGGGGGAAATAGCTGTTGTGTGTTTCAGTTGCAGGAATCTCAGAGCTCAGGCCGATCAGAACAGAAAGGCTGTGACCAGCAGCTCAGGCCTTACATGGATTATTTCACAATCTGGCTATTTTATTCTTGTTCCTCCTCTCTCATCATCTCTTTGTGAGGTGGTTGGGTTATTTTATTTTTATTTTTTGCCAGAATTGATCTGAAATAGATCTTGGAGCCTCTACCCATCACAACTTTAACTGAATAGTAGAAACAGCCGCAGATAAGATTTTGACATTGAATGACGTGCCATTGTCAACAGTGGGTTATTTTGTTCAGCAACACATATGGATTGGAATAAAAAAACCCAACTCATTTGGGTCTAAACAAAGCCTTATGTTCACATACCACCATCTTCAAATATTTTTGTTTTATACATTAAATGTGATCCTGGGAGGAGTCAAGCCACACCCACTTCATATACAACAAATCTGAGACTTGGAAAAATTAAGAGACTGTCTGTGGTCATTCTTAGTTTCCCTGCAGGTCAGAGTCAATATTTTGTCTCTGAGCAGTGTTCTTGCCACTCTGCATAGCAATTCCTTAAGGAAAGGAAGCTGACTGTTATCCATAAGTTTGCCAATAGTTGGAGCTTGGGGCCAGGCTATGCAAGCAATAATTAAAACATTACTGGCACCAGTCACTCTGATAAGGGTGATTAATAACCTACATTTCTTCATTTGGTTGAAGGGTAATTTAATGAGTAGTAGTTTATTCAAAGACTAGCCAACATTACTTCTATAGAGAAGGAGCATTTGGGAAAGGGGTGAGGTTGCTAAGGGTCAGGAAAGGGCATCTTGGAGCAAAATTTGCTCTAGAGCACTGTATCTTTGAAGATTGCTGAATCTGACCCTTCTGAGGGAGGAGAATGGGGACAAGGGAAATCACCTTGATTACAAACACACACTCAGCTCCCCTTACATGAATGACCTTATTATGGGCAAATCTTGTGTGGTGACCAACTCACCTTTACTAGCGTCAGTGCTGGCTTTGCAGCCAGAGTACTCCTTGCTTCTCTCTACTATTCCATCCCCTGCATGAATTTCAAAGCTTAAAATAGGCCAGTTCCCCACATATTCTGAACACATTGAGCTCATTAATATTCCTTTAAGGGGTTCACCAACCCCCCTCCACAGCATCCTGCACAGATATACCTTTACTATAAACACACACACACACACACACACACACACACACGGAAGAGTCCCAAGTGCTAACAACTCAACTATTGTTTCTGCTGCCCTCAGCACTTGTGCACAGGTGATATATGTTCTTTATCTGTCATTCTTTCAGCCCCTCGAGTGGCTATCAGCTCTGCACACCTACGTGGACAGAAGTCCAGTAGGTTTAATCCAAGCCCCCATGTACTCAACAACATATATCTAACCTAAACAGTATCAATATCAGGATTTGAACTCAGGTCTTCTGATACCAAAACATAATTTTTCCCAGGCTGGCAAGCTTCATCTTCCAAGGTGCAAGCCAGGCATTTGACTCTCAAAAAGCAGTAGGATTCTCCAGATTGGTGGGGAGAGAAAGGAAATAGCAAGAAGTCCATCTCAAAGGCAAAAATCTTCCATTTTTCTTTAACCTCTAACCCATCCGTGCAACCAACCACACTAGACATCCACAGCATTCAGTGGGTAGGCTTTTGAAGAAGAAACCAAAAACCAGAAGAATACGGGCTGAAATTATGAACAGATTCAAAAAGAGAAATGCCTGAGTATAGACATCTTGATTTCATCTTTGTCTTTCAAACTTAGCACCAAAAGTTTCTAAATTTTTTAGTTCTCTTCATCCTCTATCATTTCCTTCTCTTCAATTTATTGCCACACAAATCTCTGTCTCTATCATTTTTTTCTATTGAAAACTTTAAGTCTGGAGCCTGAATTTATTTCTTTACTTCCCATCCTAAGTTATGTAACTAGGTTATTCTAAACCGTGGTTTCTGGTTGTGTGCAAAATTGGGATGACAGCAATATCTGCCTCATAGGGTTAT